AGGAATAGCCTGGTATCAGACATATGGACTAATATTGGACTTATGGACTTGATCTGGACTGGGTTGGGATGTTTTCTTAATGTATAATTACACTTTATATAATGCTCTTTTCTATACACATATGCCAATGAATTTGTTTCTCTAGTCTACCCAAACTAACATGGGGAGTATGTCAGTTCCTTAAATCTACAACAGGTGAGTTTCAGGTAAATCCCAATTAACTTATTATTGAGAATTTCAAGTGGGATCTTTCTGGTGTTGCCTACGAAGGATGTTGTGCACTTTGAAAGGACAGAATCTAAAGTCTCAGTTGTCTATAACATGTGACCAGGGTCACTATGGTGGTTACATAATCTCATGTCAACTAGAAGGTATTAAGAGCGAAGGGATGGAGTCTAGCCTGTCAATCAGGTCACAGCCTGTTGATGCCTCCTTGTGGGCATGACCTTCTCATGAGGATTCTGGAAAGTCTTCTCTCTGCTTTCACCTTCCTGTTGACAAGTCATGTGGAGCCATGCTTAGACCTGAAAGAGCCCCAAAGATGCTTCCACTGCTAATGGTTCCATAAGATTTTGGACCCATTGGCCTGTGATCTTCCTGCATTTTGTATCATTGCTTGTGCTGTGTGAGTCTGGAGAAGAATTGATGGACTAGTTTGGACTTAAAGTCTAATATAGGTCTTATATACTCGATCTGGACTGGGCCGGGATGTTTTCTTAATATACAATTACTCTTTGATATATAGCTCTTTCTTAGACATATATGAATGTCCCTGGATTTGTTTCTCTAATCAACCCTGACTAACACAGTTGCCAAGGGCTGGATGGAAAATAGGTCAAAAGTGTCCAATTAAGAACATAATACCATGAATATTCTCCCTTGGGTTCTATATATGTATTGTTAAGCGTTCTTTCCTGCTGTCAGTTTGCCCCACCCAGTTTTCACACCAACACAAGTCTGGGGTCTTAAAGGTTTGAAGTTAAACAAGTAGCTATCTAGAGAAGCAACAAGCCCACATGGAAGAAGCACACCAGCCTGTGCGATCATTAGGTGTCAAACAACAAGCCCATATGGAAGAAGCACACCAGCCTGTGTGATCATGAGGTATCAACAGGATCAGGTAACAGGCATCAGAAGACCCCAAACAGCCAGCCAACTAAACAAACAAACAAACAAACAAACATATTGTTGAGAATGAGGGGATTTGGAGCAGAGTCCCACAAGCCATCTGTAGACAATAGGACATCTCACAGAAGGGTCACAAGGAAGGGATGGGTCAACCAGAGCGCAGTACAGCACCAATGAAACTCACAATATTCCTCTGCTTCCTTGAGGCTTCCTCTACCCCCACTATCATGATCCCAGTCCTGCCTTTCACGTGGGCTGGACTGGAGCCTGTGCACTGATGTAGATAAGAGCTCATGACACACAGAATCCAGGTAAGTTAGCCCCTCAGCAACAGAAATGGGAGTAGCGATACTAGAAAGGTACAGAAGGGGGAACTGGGAGACAGCGGTCAGTGTGAGATATGAAAATAATAATAATTTGTAATTTATCAAGGGGTCGCAAGGGTGGGATGAGGGGAGATAAGGAAGAAAGAGGAGCTGATACCAAGGGCTCAAATAGAAATCACCTGTTTAGAAAATAATGATGGCAATGTATATACAAATATGCTTGATACAATTGAAGTATGGATTGTTATAAGAGCTGTAAGAGCACTGAATAAACTGATCTTTAAAAAAATAAAAGGCCACCAGCAGTGAATAAGAGTTCCTGTTTTGCCACACCCCCTCCATCAATTGTTCCTTTATGTTTTTTGAATTGGGCTATCTTTGTGGGTGTTAGGTAGTATCTTATAGTTGTTTTGATTTGCATTTCCTGGATGGTTAATGATCGAGTACATTTTCTCATGTTTACTGGCCATTTGGATTTCCTCCTTTGTGAATCTTCTGTTTAAGTCCTTTGCCCATCTCCCCAATGGACTATTCGTTGTTTTATTTTCTTGTAAACTTGCAAGACTCTGTAGAGTTTTGTAATAAGTCCTTTGTCTGTTATGTCATTACTAAATATGTTTTCCCAGTCTCTAGTCTCTCTTGTTACTCTCTTGATGAAATCTTTTGATTTACACAAGTGTGTTATCTTTAGTAGGCCCCACTCCTCTATTTATCTTCCTCTGTTGTGTAGCCTTCCTTATTTCTGACAGTTCATGTATTCTCTGTGCTAAGATTAGCTTTGTCCCAATTTCCTCATTGATGATCCTGATGGTTTGGGGTTTTACCTCTCAGTCTGTGTGTCAATTACATAATCTCTTGTCAACTTGAGTGAAGGGGTAGAGTCTAGCTTGTTAATTAGGTCATGGGCATGGCCTTCTCCCGAGGATTCTGGTAACTCCTGTCTTCCTTCCTGGATAAAAGACACACTTTGTGCTTGACATTCCTGTTGGCAAGCCACATAGAGACACACTGATGAAGCCAGAGCCCTGGAGCTGGAGGAACCAGATGGAGACCCATGCTAATGCTGAGATGCTTCCCCACCACTGGATCTACACACTGGCCTGTGATCTTCCTGCATTGGGCATCATTGCATGACTGCATGACTCTAAAGAGGAATTTATGGACTAGTATCAGACATATGGGCTACTGTCAGACTTATGGACTTGATCTGGACTGGGCTGGGATGTTTCTGTTTTCTTTCTTTTTCAAGAATTTTTTTAAAAAGAATTTGCAATGTTTGTTAATATACAATTGCTCTTTGACATAAAGTTCTCTCTTACACATATGAGTGTCATTGAATTGTTTCTCTAGTCTACCTAGACTAACACCGTCTGTGATCCACCTTGAATTTGTTCTTGTGCATGGAGTGAGGTAAGGGTCTTGTTTCATTCTTCTGCAGGCTGATATCCAGTTTTTCCCACACCATTTGTTGAGATATATATATTTGCCTTTGTCAATGATCAGTTGTCTGTATGCTGCTGTTTTTATTTCTGGATTTTCTGTTCTTAGCCATTGGCTCAAGTATCTATCATTATACCAGTACCATGCTGTTTTGACAACCGTGGCTGTATAATAAGTTTTAAAGTCAGGTAGTGCAAGCCACCCACTTTGTTCTTCTTGAGGAGTTCCTTGCCAATTATGGGCTTCTTCCCTTTCCATATGAAGTTGTTAGTAAGTTTTTCCATTTCTGTGAAAACTGGTGCTGGAATTTGTATCAGGATTGCATAGAATTTATATAGTGCCTTATACAGGATTGGCATTTTCACAATATTGAGTTTTACAATCCATGAGCATGGGATATTCTATTTGTGTAGGTCCCTTTTGGTTTCTTGTAGCTATGTTTTGTAGTTTTCCTCAACAGTTTGTTCTAACAATGTTGCACACCTTCCCAGGATGAAGCCAAGGGGACAGAGGGAAGTTGGTCCTGGCTTTGGGCACATCTTGGAGAAGAGAGAGACCTGCCTCCTGTTATGCACACGCTCATTTCGCCCATCAGCTGACTTTCATTGTAACAAGCCCCATCTGTTCAAGCCAGGTGCTAAGAGCCGTGCTGATTGCGCTATGTGGAGGCTGCCCACATGCCTCCATGCACACTGTAGTTAAAGAGCTGTAAAATTATTTGCATTTTCAACCTATTAGATGGCTTTGACAAAACCAGTGCCAGAGAGGCTATGTGAATGCTATCCTTTTGCCAAAGAGTGTAAAACTTACGGCCACCAATGAAATTATTAAGAAATATTGTATTTTCAGTATAGCTCTATTTTCTAGGGACAAATACAAGGGAAGGAACCCCATAAAGCATTAGCGACCCCGATCACCTGTTGTTTGTGGAAAACCTAGACAGCTGCACAATCTGGTGAAAATGAAAGTAATCGACATCTTTCCAACTGTGGTTTAGCTCTGGGGTTGTAACCGAAATAAACCCATGCTAAGATGGGTAACACCTTAGAGGCCCTGGTGGTGTCCTGCTTATGAATTTGGCTGGGACCTGAAAGGTCAGCAGTTTGAAGTCAGGGGCAGTTTTACCCTACCCTATAGGGTCACTATGAGTCAGTGGTTTGTTTTGTTTGCTCATTTTGTGTGGCTATTATCTAGCAGAAATAGATAACTCTTGAAAATGTGCAACTTGGAACACAGATTTCAGTTCATGAGCGCAGGGTGAGCCCTCATGGTTTTTCATTGGTCTCAAGGGAGGCTTGAAGAGAGTTTGTGAGTTTAGGAAGGAGACCTGCCTATGGCTCCCTTTCCTCTGTGCTCCCTGGCCTGGCCTCCTAAAGAGCCATGACCTTGAGGGCCTCCACGGCCTGGGAGCTTTCAGAGCTGGACTGGCCGCCGGCCAGCCGGGCCTTCCTGGGCCCCTTCCTCACGCGCCCCACGGTCGCGCCGCCCCTCCTTCCCATTCCCTTCCGGACGCCAGCGGAGGACCTGTCTTTCTGGGCCCAAGAGGAGTCTGGGCTCTGCGGACCGATGGTCTGTGCGGTCCCACCCCTCTATTCAGTGGCAGCTCAGCTCCAAGAACTCAGAGCTGGCCTCCAGTACAGCTCTTTGAGATGTTTCTTTCTTTCTTTCTTTTAAAAGAGCAAACCCACCCTAAATGTCAGTCCAGTATCCACGGGGGGTACGTGACAGCAGGTGATTAGAAGCAATTAGCCGTCCTCCTGCCGGGCAGCTGGGCAATTACCTTTTGCTCTCTCCCTCGCCCGTCCTTCCTCCTCCCTTGGCAGCGCTGGCAGTGCTCTGCTCCCTAAGCGGCCATGTGCGCCGAGCTGGCTCAGGGATGAGGGATGCGCGGAGCGGGCACTCGGTCGCCCCCGCCCGCAGCCGCGGCGGCGGCCAGCGCTGCAGTGCATTGTGGAGGCAGCGCGGGCCGCGGCGGCGGCGGGGGCTGCAGGCGAGAGCGCGCCGCAGGGAGCTGTCCGAGGTGCTGACAGACCCGGCCCGGCGGCCGCCCGCGACCCCCCGCCCACCTCCGCGGGACCCTGCCCAGCCCGGGCCCGGCTCCAGCCCTCCAACCCTCCGTGTGCCTTTGTCTCTCAAGCTAGGGGCGTAGCGGCTGGAGGAAATCATGGTGTTCGCTCCAGGTACGCCCGCACCTTGCCTTTCCCCGACCGGGAGTCTGGGCGGGCAGAGGAAGGCGGTGGGAGGTAAAGGTCGTCTGGTCCCTTTTGGAGTTCACGGGGAGCGAGCGGCGGGCGAGTGCCCGGTGCGGCGCCTTCGCCCCTCGCTCCCGTCCCGCCGCGTTCCCTAACAGCCTCCAGCTCGGTCGCGTCCCGCCCGGCGTCTTCGCTCACACCCCATCGGAGCCCCGCACCTCGCGGACTGGACTTTGTCCTGCCGCTCGGGCGACTCCATCGGCAGGACTCGCGCTGGAGAGATGGGGCCAAGCGCAGTGGGATTCAGGCTCCTCGGGTGGGATTGACTGCCACTGCCTCTTTGGAAGCGCTAAAGTGACCTGGCTCCTGAGGGCCTCGTGAGCGAGGTGGCGGAAAGACGCAGGACCTTGCCTCCTTAAAGCATTGGCCCCGAAACTCTACGGGAGGCTGCAGTACAAGAAGCTGCTCCTGCCGCACGGCTGGCGAATGCAGGCTGCTTCGGGAGCTCACCGGGAAGGACATTGGTCCCATTGCTGGTATCGGTGGCTGCAAGTTGACGGAGTCAGGGTGGAATGCTGTTGACTCGCTTACCTGCGTGTGCATGCGTGTGCACTCAAGCGCGCCCCGTGGGAACCTGTGTGTGTACCAAGTGGGGCCCGCCGGGGTAGAGAGCGGCGAGGGGAAGTTGTTACAGGAGGATGCTGACTCCACGGGTTGAGCCAAGTCTTTTTTCCCTTTCTTCCCAGGCTCGCTCTGCTTTTATTCAGGACAGCCGCGTGACAAAAAGCAGTGGGGTCTAAAACGATTCCACTTTGTAATGGGTCTTCAATTTCCAGGGTTGATTTGTGTCTGTTGTCGTCTCAATGGACCTCGAATAACCGGTCAGGGAAGGAATAGTGCCTTTTCAAAGGGAAAGACGTCTCTAAGATACCAAAAATTCAAGGAGCCGAATTGAATTTGAGAGGCGGAAGCACCCCTCCTCCATCAGGATGCTAATGGGAATGCAGCAAGGAGTTTTGCGAGTTCTGAAGTTGCCTTAGGTAGTGGTTCTTAGCAAAATGCTGTTCTGCCCCGCCCCCCACCCCCCCACCCCCGCCCCCGGTCCTTTTGCTCCGGTGCATCCCATATCACCCAGGGGGCAGGTTGTGAAGAACTTCCCATCAACACCGGACCTGTGCAGGTGGTAACAACTCTTCATTACATCTATAAACCAGTTACTTTACAAAACAGTTTCATGCTGTCTGTTTTGATCTTCAAACTACCTTAAGAGATAAGTAATATCACCTCTATTTTACCAGTCCCAGGGGGCTTGATCCATATTGTCTTACCATCCTCAGTTGAAGTTTCCTGACCTCAGTTTCTCCTTCTCTTTCTTTATGACAAAATAGCTCACCACTTTCGAAATACAGTAATTTCAGGAATACCTGTTTTGGGTGTAAGCTCAAATCTACCCAGAGGAACAGCATGGCTTTCCATTTCCAATATAATGCGTGCGTGGTGTTGACCAGAATTAGGGTTGTTGAAGGATAGCTAGGCACTTTCTTAAAAGGTTTTGGGTGAAGGACTGTGGAAGTGGGAGGTTTCTTGGGTGGACTGACTTAATCAGCTCACAGTTTGCACAGGGCTTTATGTTTCCACTTTACTTTCAGGTTTTTGCATTACTTTCTGTGGGCAAAACAAGAATGTCATAAATTGATCCGAATAGGGTAGGTACAGAAGGTTCTAAGAAAACATTTTTGAGCTCTTTCTTTAATTTTGAACTTTTCATGAACAATAATAAACAATTTTGTATTTTAAGAATAGTGTGCTAAACTATTATATAAACCCTTCCTTGATTGCTCATTATACACCCTCTAATTTATATAGGGATTTCTTCTGAAAGAAAACCAGAACGATGAATTGTTTTTGAACTGTCTGATTTTCAGGATCACAGCCTGCCTTCGAGGACTATTGCTCTTCTAAGTCTCTATAATCTGGGACCCAGAGGTTTTGTACCAGTCAAGGTACACATTCTCCAGCTCTTTCCCCCACTCTAATGTAACATCCAGGAAGCGAGAAAACAGCGTGTGCCCAGATCACTCAGAAATTAATACAAGGGTATTAGATAATCCAAGATGCACATGACAGCAAAGTAACCAAGATCTCTTTGTAAAATTAGGTCAGTCAGCATTGTGCCCTTTCAGATACGTTGTAGCTCTTTAGGTTTTACCAGAGGGAAGCAGAAGCACCGAGGCCTCCTTCTGGCCTTGCCTCTGCAGACTGGGCTGCCTTTGAATGGTCTGCTGCTTTGCTTACCTTAAAGGCAGATATGAAAATTGACAAAAATTCAAAAAGCAAACTTCAGGACAGAATTGCAATGGAATATGAAAGACGTGGGATGTGCTTTTATAACTTTAATTAGGAACCTCTCTTAATATATGATTAAAATATTCTTGCATTTTCTTGCTTTATTTAGTTTTTGAATCATATGGATAGGGTTTACCTTGGGCAGGATCTTAGGGTGATAGCTAAGTTTGCATAGGGTAGACAATTCAATTTCATGACTTTTCCTCTTTCTTATATCACCAATGGGCTTTACAATAGAGGAGTTTAAATGTGTGTATATAGATTTTTTTATCCAAAAATTTTATATTGTGAATTGAGTAAAGTTTACAGAGCAGTTTTACTACACTCATGTTCATTCTGTTTCATCCGATTCATGGTCATCTCTCCAGTGTAACCCATCTCCCCTCCTCCCAGCGGTTCCTGTCTGCATTTCTCTTTTCCTACCCCTTCTGAACTTTGTTCTTGGGTGAATGCTGCCACCTTGATCCAAATGATCAATTATTCTAAGGTGTGCACACACCAAGAGTGTTATCATTATGGTTACAGACCTAGTGTTTGACTGAAAAGTGAGCCACAGCTCCAGATTGGAAGGATGACCGAAGGCTGTCATCTCTGAGGTTCAGCCAGGCTCTAGCTATCAGAAAGATTGATCTCTTTAATGATTGTGAATTTTGTTCTTCATTTTTCTCTCAGTCTCTCCAGGATCTTTTATTCAATCAAACCCCTTTCAGAGCAGTTGGTACTGGCAGCCAGGCACCTCCTAGTTTTTCTAGTCTCAGAGCCAGAGAGACTGATGCGGTCGTGGTCCTTTAGCCTATGGGACTAACTGTTGCCATGCTCTTAGATTTTCATCGCTCTTATTTCCTTCAGGCAAGGCTACACCTTACATGCCACTCACAAGCTTTGACGGGCCTTTTTGCTACTCACCGATGTAGGATGTAGACTTTGTGCACTAGGTGACCTCTTTGTGGACTATGCTATTGACTTTGATATCTTCCACGACGATCGTCTTCAGCCTCTAGCCTCAATGACGCATTCCTCTGAGGTGTTTGAGGAGACTTACAAAGTTTTTGTAACTTTTCCCCCTGCATACTTGATTACATGCACTGATGTAACAATAGCAAAAGTAAATACTCATGTGCAATTATACACTGTCAAACAGGTATATATAATATATGTGCACACTCATGTATCTGTGCATTTGTGTGTGTGTATATATATAGACACATATGTTTGACATATTTGCACAAATTATGCATGATATATTATGGAGGAGGACATTTGTACAGATGGATGTGTGTACGTATACATATAAAATCACTGCTATGGCAGGACTATATATACAACAGTATGTAACTCTGTTACCTGTAACTGTTGCACTCCTCCTAGTGTTTTTCCATGCTTCCATAATTTTTTTGGTTGACCTTATTGCATATTGCCTTCTCCCCCCTCAAGTTCTTGAAATCCACTTTATTTCCTGTACACTTGGAAGCTCTGTAGCTACATTATTTCCTCTTTTTACTTTGTAATTGCAAATTGATATCTCTGTTTCCCTCTTTTCAGTCTTGTCGGTTTACTTTACTTTGGACACTTCTATATCTGGGTTGATTTCTGGGTGGCATTGTTAAGTATCCTATTCTCAGGTTGTGTCTGATATTGCTAGTTCTCAGTCCAAATCACTCCCTTTGGTAGTTTTTGTAAGATTGGCCTAGTTTTTACAAATTCTTTTAATTTCTCTTCATCTGGAAATGTCTTATTTTCATCATCTTATTTAGGGGACAATTTTGCTTGGTTGGCAATTTTTCATTTCAGAGTTTTATAGTTTTTTTGTTGAGAAATGAGAGCTTAGTTTTATTGGTTTCCCTTTAATAAGTAACTTTTAAATTTTTCTGAGCTGCTCTCAGTGTTCTTTTCTTGTCTTTGGCATGGGAAAATCTGATTATGATATGTTGTCACCTTTTTTTCTGGAATCCAACCTGTTGACCTTCTTGAATGTTCATTTTCTTACCTTTCACAATGTTAGGGGCGTTTTCTTTCAACAACTTTTAGACAATTTTCTCTGTATTTTTTATTGTCTCTTCATAGTCTGGAATTATAATCACATGTAAGACATTCCTCTTCATGGTGTCCCACATAATTTTGGGGATTTATTTGATTTTTTTGGTTATTTTTTCTGATCATTCCGCTAGCAGATTTATATTTAGTGGTTTGTCTTCAAGCTTCCATCGATTCAATTCTACTCTGTTGCCCTTTCAATATATCATCTATTTCTGAAATCTTATCATTCATGTTCTGGATTTTTATCTTCTGTTTTTGTAGGGTTTCTATTTTTATTTATTTTGTCAATTTTGGGGGTAATATTTTCCTGAATTTTTCTAAAGTTTTGTTGGCACTTTCTGTGATTTTGTTTTCAGATTTCTCTCACATTCTCTAAATCTGTTGAGCATATCTAAATACCATTCTTTTAAATCCATTATCGGGTAGTTCTAAGGACCATTCAGAAAAACCTTATGGATTTGTGATTCGGTTTCTTATTTGAGGCAGTCTGTCTTTTTTTTTGGGGGGGTCTGTTCTTCTGGAGACTTTGCGGGATGGTTTTATTTGTATTTAATTAATGATCGTATGTTGGTGTGTTCTTAGGCACTCACCATCTGTCTTCTGGT